CCCTCAACAGGAGGGGTGTGTGTGTGCTTTCTATATATATATGTATATGTGTATATGTGTGTATATATGAAGATATAGAAATTAATCTAGTATGTTTCAGATAACTCAATTCGACAAAGATTTATCAAACGTGAAATTTTTACTAAGCTTAAGAAATTGAAACACTGAGATGTCATAGTTAGTCTGTCCCTTCAGGGAACTGCCCACACGTAACAGGAAGTGCACAAGCACACGCAGAGTAAGCAGAAGGCGATGCCGTAGGAGAAATACAGGAAGAGAGAGAGATCTGCGAGACGCAGCCTTTGAAGGGAATGTTGAAGACTGGAGAGGATTTAAACTGGTAGAAATGGGAGGAATAGAAAAGGAATGTCTCTCCTTCATGTTCAGGAGAACGTGAGCAGACACTGGGGAGACTGAGCGTGCACAGGGTACCGTGTCATTTGGCTGGAGCATGAGAGAAAGGAGCCGAGCTAACAAGTAGACAGGGGTCACATTAGGGAAGGTCTTGAATGCCAGGCTAATAAATTTGGATTCTCTTCCGTAGAACTGGGGAGCCATGGATGGTTTCTGAGCAGAAGAATGTCCTTCGAGTTCTGCTGTAGACCAATCACTCAGGAAATGGATTGTGTGATAAACTGGAGTGATGCAACGAGTGAGGAGGCTTCAGTAACGGTCTGGGCCAACAAGAGGTCCTGATGGAGTATACCTCGATTGTCAGGGGAAATATTCTCTGGTTGCCAAGATGTGAACCACACTTGAGTGTAGCAGGAGCTAACCCCTGCAGGCGTGGCTGCGTACGTTCAGAAAGCCTCTCACCAACTTGCTCTGCAGGACACGGGGCTCTGGGAGCAGCACTGCCCACCGTCCATGGAGAGCACCGGAACTTCTGCAGCATCAGCTCTACTTTCCCACTTGTGCAAGCTCCTCCAATTGCTCACCATGCTCTTCAGCTCTGGGACAGGAAGTTCCCGGGGCTCTGAGGTCGGTTAGCATCCTGCATCTTACAGCCTGCTAGTTCTCTCCCCACTCCACCACAGAAACCAGAACTTCAGGGCTTTCAGTTTTGGTGCTAGCTTCACAGTTTAGGTTTGGGTACAAAGACAGCTTATCTTCATGTTATGAGAAGGACAGAAGAAAAGAAAGAAAAAAAGAAAGAAAGAGAGAGAGAGAAGAAGAAGAAAGGAAGAAAAAGAAAGAAGGAAGAAAAAGAAAGAAAAGAAGAAAGCTTTCTTTCTCATATAGATATGTTTTCTTTCATATATGTGTATGTATGTGTATGTGTGTGTGTGTGTGTGTGTAATCTTCATGTCATGAGTTCAAAGAATAAAACAAAACAAGAATAGCTAACCTGGGGCCAGCATGTGGCATGTAGTTGAGGCACTGGATTCCCACATGGCTGACCGAAGTTTGAGTCCTGGACCTGGGAGCTTGCTTTCTCACTTTCCCTCTCTCTCTCTGTCTCTCTCTGGTGAGCACGTGTGCTCTATAGCAAATTAAATAATAATGATAAATAAAATTAAATAAATTTTTTAAGAAAAGAAAAAAAAAAGAATACTTAACCCAAGCATGATACTAGCACTATCTTTATTTCCTAACTCTAAGTAAAAAAAAATAAAGTTCTTTTTGTTTCAATCACTCAAAGTTTGAAAAATGAAAGTATTGTAAGAAGGGGGTTTTCTAATACATCAAGAACCCCTATGCATTTTCCCTTTGTCTTCTACTTGCTCAGTTTTAGCAATTTTCCTGTTGAAACAATAAAACGACAAGTAAAAAAGAAAACATTTCTCACCACCAATGTTAACAGCTGAATGGCATACATCATCCTTCATATAGCTCCCCATGTTCTTTTTTCTCTTAGTTTTTTTTTTTTTTTTTTGAAAGCCTTTGCAATGCCACGGCCTCAAAAAATTGGCTAAAGACTCAGAATTGATCCTCTCCACAGAAATCTTTAGTAAAAAGCAAACGATTTATACTATCTGAAGAGAAACCAGAGGATGTCTAGTTCCCCATGTTCTTGTTGACATATAAAAGTGTAGATACAGCTATACAGAGTTATTATTATCACAAAATGGGATTTTACAATTTTTCTTCTCGCAGTTTGTGAGAATAATAATATATCAAGGATATCCCCCCAGATGAATTGCTATAGGATTAACTAATTTCTTTTTGTTGCTTTAGAAGATTTCACAATGTGGAGATTAGCAGTTAGCGTAATGGCTATGTCACTGGACTCCCACTTAGTCGACCATGGTTCAAGTCCCGGACCCAGTGGCTTAAACTCATGCTGGGTGTGTGTGCGTGCATGCCCAAGATCCCGAGAGGAGAATGGAGGAGAAGGGATTGCGGCATGGCCATCCCCCAGGGGGATGATTTCTCACTTTCTGTCTCTCTGTCTCTGTCTATCTGGTGAGTGCACATGCCCTATAGCAAAAAATCCTCTCCAAAAAAAAAAAAAAAAGAGAAGATTTCACAATATGGACAGATCACAACATGGTCAATTGATCCTCTTCAGATGAGCGTATAGTTGTTTCTTCTGTGGGCCACAACAAGCATCTACCAGTACCTATCCCGGCCCATGAATTTCCCGGGGAAGTGCTACCAGAACTGAAGGCATTTCTGAGCACCTACAATATGCTATTTTTATGAAATACACAAAAGAAATGTGTGACATAGTCCCTTCCTCAGTGGGTGCCAAATATAGCTGGGGAAATAAGCCTAACCCACATAAAACAATCACACTGTGTAAGATGGTATTCAACAGTGTTCACCAGACTTCTGGCAAACACACGCTAAGTTTCCCTCCAGTGCAATGACAGGCTGCAGAGACAGCTCAGAGGTCCTGTGAGCTCTAACGTCCTAAGGTCCTTCTCTGACTCAGAAAAGGGAGGACCGAGAAGGGCTAAGAAGTCAGGGTGGCATCTGTGGAGAAGGCAGGACTTGAACATGGCCTTGGAAGGGTTTAAATTGATGGAGGGGGAAAAGTGTTCTTCGGAGTGACAAATGAGCCAGGGTACAACATTAACTTTAGACATGTATATGTTCAAGAGAGTGACAATAAGCAGTCCCTTCCCAAGTCACTGCATTGCCAAACATCCTCCACCTTATTCCCCCCACCCTCACCCAGCCTCTGCTTAAAAGCATAAAAGTATCCAAGCTTATGTGCCATAGAGCATCACACTAACACTGATTTAAAATGCACTACTTCCAGTCAGGATAAGCTGGGAAAAAAGCAATCTCTCTCCTCCCTGTCCTTCTCATGCTGCACCCCACCCCCTGCCAACACACACACACACACACACACACACACACACACACACACACACCACCTTCTTCTGGGCCCTTCAAACAATAGCAGTCATTTAAGCTGTTCCTGCCCATCTGGAAAACAAGAATAACATGGAAGAATGTGATAATGATAGTAAAGTGATTATAATTTAACCCAAAACTGAGGGTTTTTTAAAATCAAAAACTTAGTTAAAATGTTGCCATTGAGAGACTAAAATGTTAGTCCTTCATACTGTGTTGCAACAGTATGTTTGCAAGGTATCCAAATCTATTTAACTACAAAACACATTTAATAATATGTTTCAAACTTTATCAGATCAGTAAATATGACTTGAGAGCTTCATGTATGTGCCAGGTATACATTATGCCTCAAAGCAGAACATAATGGCTCTATAAAAAAAGTTCTAAAAATGAGTTAAGCATGAATAATTTAATGTGCTTTTTATCTCAAAAACTTGAGATTAAAAAGTTATATATAATTTTTAACCAAGGGGCACCACAGACAAATCTATGTTTCTCTCTCTCTCTCTCTCTTTTTTTTTTAATGCCTCTCCCAGTCTAAAATTAGCTTTCAACATATTTTTTAAACATTAGAAAAATAAGATTCACTCCCAGGATGTTAACTTGAATGCCAAGTTTGAAGACAAAATCTTGACAATCATACAGCCTAAAATAAAGACTCTTAGTAAGAATGAGTTGTTGAATTTAAGTAAGATCTAACTAGCTGGGTGTTTCTATTTAGCAGTAGAATAAGAAAAATGCCCCGACCTCTGTTACTGTAGTTACCCACAAAGGTGGCTGAGATCTGAAACAGGGTACCAAGAAGGTAAGGTCCCCAGGCCTCCTGCAGCTCTACTGATCATAACTGAAGCCAGCTCCTTTCTGACTCCATACTCCTTTCTCCTTACCAAGACTTCCCCTGATGGTGATTCTAAATGCTGTGGAGACCCCATCACTGTCTTTGTGTGTTACATTTAGATTTGAGAATCTGCACTACACACCTCACATCGAAACTTCTAGCAACTGGGGCCAGCAGGTGTTGTGGTAATTAAGGCTCTGCACTCCCTCCTGCCTGGCCACTGTTCGAGTCCTGGACCTAGTGGCGTGAAAATCACACCAGGCACATTTGCATGTGTGCCCAAAATCCCAAGAGGAGAATGGAGGAGAAGAATCGTGGTGTCACCCCCACTCACTGTCTCTCCCTGGCAAATGCACATATCCTACAGCAAATAACTAAAAACAAACAAACAAACAAACAGAAACTTCCAACTACTGTTGCTCAGTTAACATACAACCTTCCAGTGGTTTAAAATGTTCAGTACAATCACAGTTCTTCTTGAGATCATGACTCTCTTGTCCTAGCTAACAGGGACAACTAGTGGGGCTGCTCATCCTCCAGCCACGGACAGAACTGGGCTTGGCCCAAGGCAGTAACTCCAGGGAGGCATGTGATGGAAACAGCCTGCTGGGACAGGTTGAGGCCTGTTCTCTCTTTTGGAGCACTCTGAGTACAGCTGGCACTGTGTGACTACCTTTTGCCTCTTGAATCATGACCAATCAAGAATGTCTAAACACGGCCACTGGGGGAAGTAGAAGGACATTATCTTTCTGAGCCAGGAGACCTGGTCTAACATTACGTAACTGAGGGCAACACAAAGCTAACAGAAGCCTGCATTTCCTCACTAGAAGAGTTTGAAATGACCAAGTTCCCCAAAATAAGATGGGAATGATTTGATTTAAAGAAGAAAAATCTCACCGAGGGGTCTAGGCAATGGAAAGCTCACTCTACCAGAATAGCAGGCGCCCCAGGCACGTCACTCATAGCAGAGGAAGTAGCAAGATCAACCTGCTCAAAGCTGATCAGAATAGGGTGAAACTGTATGCAGTCCTAAAGGGCCTTTTTTTTTTTCTTTAAAGACCCAAGTGAATGTGAAAGAAATTTAGCTAATTATTCTTAGCTGAATTACGTATCAGAATTCCCTGGAGAATTGGGTTCCACCCCAAAGAGACTGAGGTAATAAATCAAGGATGAAAATCCTAGCACAGGCACTTGAAAAGCTTTTCCAAGTGACTCATGTATCCTCTGCATAAATGCCCATACTGAATCTGATCCTTCACATCAACACCTTAGCAATGTTACACCATTCACGCTGTAATCCTGCTTCAGGGAAGCTAGCCCACAGAAATAACCAGACATGCAATTTTTGTATAACGATGATCATAGCAACACTATATTTCATTTTAAGATGACAAAGGACAAGTGGTAAAGCTAGGAAAATTGTTAAATAAGTTATAATATATAAACCTAAAAATAAAGATTAAACACATGGGGCTGGCTACAGTGGCCTAGAGGGAATGTCAGTGTTCCACACTGCTAAGGCTACATGGAAAAGTCTCGGGTTCACATCTCAAGGTCTTTCAGTACTTGTCCAGACACATATGCATGACCGTGGTCCTGGCTAACTGAGCCATGGCCTGCCTTAGACCAAGGCATGAAGATTCGACTGCGTGTCCCCCACCCCGTTTATCTGTCTGTCTACCTCTCTCTCCTCTCTTTTGGCAGAAATAAATAAATAAACTGAAATACAAACACACACACACACAAATGGCCAACAAGTACACGAGAAGATGCTTAACTTCACTATTCATTAGAGAATGCAAATCAAAACCACAGTCAAATGACACTTCACACACAGACAGCTAAAGCAAAGCAAAACAACCAACCAAAAGGCAGAAAATGACTGTTGGTGAGAACATAAAGAAATAGAAGCATTGCCGATTGGAATGTAAAATGGTGCAGCTGCTGTGGAAAATAGTTTGGTGGTTTCACAAGCTAAACATAGAATTACCATATGACCATTTTCACTCCAAGGCATAAGCCCCAAAGAATTGAAAGTGGGTGTTCAAACAAAAACTTACATAGGAATGTTCATGGCAGCACTGTTCACAAGAGCCCAAAGGCAGAAACAACCTAAATGTCCATCAACTGGTATGAGCTGATGAATGGATAAATCAAGTGTGGTAGAGCCATGTAGTAGAATAGTAGCCTTCAAAAGGCACAGTGGTTAACAGCAGCTGCTATGACACGGATGAACCTTGAAAACATTCTGCAAAGTGAAAGAAGCCAGGTGCAAAGGCTCCATGTTGTACGAGTCCATCGACATGAAATAGCCAGACTAGGCAAATCCATAGAGACTAAAAGCAGATTATTGGTTGCCAGGGACCTGCAAGTAATTACGAAACAGAGTATCTTTTGAGGCTGATGAAAATGTTCTGGAACTAGACAGTGGTGATGGTTACATAAGACTGTAAATATACCAAATGCCACTGAACGGTGTGTTTTCTAAGAGGTTAAGATGGTAAATTTTATATTATGGGTATGCTGTCACAACAGGAGAAAAATAATAAGTTACAATACCTAAAACTGAACACGTCCAACTGGGGTAGTGCATGCTGGACACTGTTGCTCAGCAGGCTGAGGGCACAGAGGAGACCCAGGTTTGGTTCTTCCCCCAGTCTAAAAAGCCAGGCATGGGCTAGCAGGTGGCATAGTGGTTAAGGTGCTGGACTCCAACATGGCCAACTGCAGTTCAAGTCCTGGACCCAGAGGCTTGAAACTCATGCCAGGCGCATGTGTGTGCATGCCCAAAATCCTGAGAGAAAAATGGAGGAGAAGGGATTGTGGCATGGTCATCCCCCCATAGGGTGATT